CTGATATTACACATGGTACACATAGAAATATTTTGTTTTGTACGACCTACTCTCGACATAACTAAAATAATCATGTAGGTAAATCATTATCTTCTTTGTTTCTATAACTTATAATTTCATTTACTTTGAATTCGGTCATAAAAGTTACCGGGCTTTCTCAGCAATCAATCAATAATATATTTTATAATATTATAACAAAATAAATCAATCTACAAAGCAGTATAAATTTATGTCATTTTATTAAGTGCATAAGTAAGTGCCTGTACAGTTAGGTTAGTGTTCAAAAACTGTATTACAATACTCAATAATTTCACTATGTTAGTACAGTATCGTCTTGATCATATAATTGTTCTTATAATCAACACATACATGGAAAAACCGCTTTGTTTATAATACATTAGAGAGACGTATTCAATCTATCTCGTTACAAAACAGATGAACTGTGAAGCCTGACTTCGTCCGTAACGTAGTCATGTACAAACATTATTATTTCATTATAAGTTAATATTAAACAAAATGAACACAAGCTTTGGATTTAATCAGACAGTACTGTTTAATATCAACATTGAAACGTCGTAGCTCGCGGGAAAGTTAGCTCGTATTCCCAGTCTCAAGATTAGTTGCATCTTCAATTATTAACTGTACAATGAGTTGAAATGACGGGAAAAATCAACCCTTCATTGTCTTAAAGTTTGCACAGAGTTACTCTTCAGCTAAACAATGAGAAAAATTTGTCGTCCGTATTTACATTACCTTGAGGTTATCAAGTTACTCTGTGAATTATTTGCTTAGACATTGTTGATGTTGGCATTAAATTATACTACTAAATGGCTTGTGAATAACGAATTAAGTTTATAGTCGAGGAATTTAATATTATTAATATTAACCTAATGTATTGATTAATTATTATTATCGATGTTAAAGCGATAAGTCTATGTTGATGTAAAATGAAACACCAAACATAAAACACTAAATAAGAAGTTTCAAATATATATGTACAATATAAGACATAATAATATCGTTCATTGTTCTCACTAGGATAGAAAAACACATTGTAAAAATTTAAAATAGAATGTTAAAAAAAGGCAATTGATTATTTTGGTTGTGTTCCATTCCCAATAGCTATTTTATCGTCTAGATAACCAAGATATATTAAATACTGAATAGTAAGTTCGTGTAGAATGTATAACGATATATAAATATAGCATACAAATAATTAGTCGTACAATGAAAAGTCATAAATTTGTACAGAATCATAAACTAAAAACTAAATTTAACCAATGATATCACTTAGAATATTAAAAAATTTGCACCTTGACTTTAATTAAAACCTTTGTATTTATATGAACACAAAATAATAGAGCATTTGAAATTAATATTTAAATTAATCGAAATTAAAGTGAATTATATCACAACATAGCGTTTCTATCAGGGAAACTAATGATTGGACTCCGAAGATTAATCTGAAATCGACCCAATGGAAGGCTTCGTATTAGTAAATTGTTTTCAATGATAGACATTATATCGTTCTGAAAGCGTTCTTATATACATTATATTAGAAAACGTTTAGGCGAAGGATAGGTATTAGCCTGTAATTGTTCCGATAAAGGGATATTTGAAAACCCGAAATGTTTCTCAGATCGCGGGTGTAATAGATCAGTATGAAACCATCTATATAAAAATGAATTGCTGTTCCTTAGTCTCACTAAAACTCGAGTACGGCTGAACGGATTTACCTTATCTTAGTCTTGAAATGTTTGTAGAGGTTCAGGGAAGGTTTGAAAGCTGAAAAAAATGATTCATTTCCGGGAAAGCCCTAAAAACAGCCCTTTTCTATTTCCCATACAAACGTTTTCTTTGACATTAGATTTGACAACTAACTAATATGTCAATCATTCTGTTCGATTGAAACAGGAGAAACCTGATTATTAATGGCCTCTAAAACGGAATAGAGTTCGCCCGGTCAGCTATACATATATTACTAATGACAAAACTAACGCGGATGAAGTCGCGGGCAAAAACTAGTTTTTTATAAAAGCCAAATTGACTTCGACATTGAAATATACGATGAAAGATAATATTATCTATCAATTGTTACCAAATGTTGGCTCATTTTCAAGAAGCTTCCCTACAGAATTATTACTGTGTATTATATTTTTAATATGACTAATTTTATAATAATTCCTTTAGAGCTAACAATACATACGTCCATTATAAAAAATAAAAAGGAAAAATAAAACAGTGAATGCCATCAATACGTACGTATGTTGAGGGAAATCTATAACAAGAAATAAAATTGACGTGTCTGTTTGTAATTTTAAAATAACATTCTTTTTAATATTTTTTCTGCGTCCGTTTGTTCTGGCTAATCTCTGAAACGAAACCTTCTTTGACGGGATTTTCACTGGACTAATGTAATTACGAATATTTTGATTTTACTTTTATTTGAGAATTAAAAAAAAAAAACAAAGGAATACGCACAAATTTGGTTTTTAAATTAAAATTCTTCCATTTAAAAGTTATAAAAATGATATCAATCTGTTTTTGTTCTATCCATGTCTTATTTTAAATGATCATTAAAAAAGAATATTCACAATAAAATGTACGATTACCTTAAAAATATATTTTTCTCTGAACAACAAATAACGTGAGAAGGTAGCTTAGTTTAAATATGATGCATTACAAAGGTTGGTAATAAAATAATTTCACAACAATAAAATACAAAGCAACTCAATTTTCAGTAAGTGTTGTGATGCCTAAACAAAGGCGTTTTAATAATGCATTTTCCAATTGCCGCTGAGCAAATAGCGGGGTAGGAGCACGGGTTTACAAAAAACGTTTTTTTTACTAAATAAAAATTGTACATATTTGATTTAAATCTATATTTTTAAAATATAATATATTCCTTAATGTCTGTGTTTTCATGCTAAATCAATATAAACTATTGACGTTAAAATGTGTTATAAAATTAATATCCAACGAAAAAACGTATAATGTTGGACCTATACCTATCTAGAAATAACAATATTTAAGTAAATTCACAATTTATTAATAATTCTATTTTTAATTACATAAATAACTAATTCAGTTCTATTAGCGTATCAAAAATCGTCTTATAAAGATATATATTTCCATAGAGTCAGTGGCAGTGAGTTACGCAAATCGTAAAAACAGCGTTATCCGTAGAAAAGCCTTATAAGTGACCCTCATTAGCCTCATTGTTGTACTTTTATCGTTTCCGGCACCCTCTGCTCCGTCTAATATAAATAAATCAAATTTAATTAACCCAGATTAATTTTCGCCGCGTCGTCATCCAGCCCGCCTCTGGGCGTCCCTTTTTATTAACCCCGAGACGTACTTTGAGTTCTTCACTCGACTGCTGTTTTACTATGGATTCTTTAATAAAAAGTTTACATTTGATTTTTCGTGTGATTTCTTTATTATCCCGAAGCCTTACGGCGTCTATTAAATGAATTCTGTCACATTGATATCTTAATTCATTTTATTCTGTATATTTATATATATTAATTATCTGTTGCATAATGATCTGTCAAAAAGTATGAATAGAATGAAAATACCATATACTCGTACTATTTTTTTTTATCTGTCGTAAATATGGTCTACGCACGTTTGATATTTATAGTATTTATATGCCTAAGAACTGGAAAAATCCGTATAATTTGTTATTTGCGCAATATAAAAACGAGGACAAGTAAACACGGTTACTATCCGGGTGGTTCGTTTGAGTGGTCCGCACACACTTGACCAACACCGGTAGCTCGCAAACAACCACAAAATTTCTGAAGACGGACAGTTAAGCTGTACAAACATGCTGTTAACTCATATATAAGCCGTTAGGTTATATGGGCTAGCTGGATCTATATTTTAACGAAAAATCTAACTTTAACAGCCCTAGAAGTGAAGCATAACTAGGTATTAATCATACTTATACTGATGCTGAATAAAAACATTAGGCTACGTATTATGTAATATTTCATAGTAACTTACTTAAATAAATTAATTTTTATGGATAATTTTAACCCAAATTAATTCACCTTATAATAATATTATAATATTACTGTAGGGGAGAGTCGGGTAGCCACGGAAACAAACAAAACTTGTATTATTTTTTAAATGTTATATTAAAATATTATTTAGTATCAAACCTTTAAGTAAAATATATAAGATATTTTAGTACAATTAAGAATCATATAATTTCTGCATCTTAATTCTAATGAAGTCTAATAAATAGTCTTAAATTTTGTACCTATGCCTGGTTACGTGGAATTTCTTTATATTACGACAATCTTCAGACCAGTTGCATTGTTAAATAAATTTTCATATCGATTCGACCGCTATAATTACATCGTTTATTCAAAAGAATTTCTGATATTGTTAAAATGTCTATTAATATAGGAGTAACTTAATGTTTTCTGATTGTTTTTTTTTATGGTGGCCACCCACGAAATGTTGGTACACAAAGTGTCACGTCAGCTATATTGACTCGGATCCGTTTACCTCTTCTAAACTTTCCGCCTTGAAAACGTAATCTCATACATGTTAATGCAATACTACTTAACAACAAAAAAACTTTTAGTGTACGAAGATTAGTTGGCTGTTTTGCGATATAACAGAAAAAATACATAGATTATAAATAGTTTGTCTGTCATTAATAGTTTGGTATATTAACTAATAGTTTGGTAATTATATTGAACAAATATAAGCGTCACATATAGAGGTGCTAAATTCTGTCATCATAATATAGAGTTTACATCAAGTCACATTTAAAAGAATAAGTAGTGTTTAAATGAAACTAATATTTTTTCAGATATACTACGCGTTTTTTTTGTGAAAAACTACATATTACCAACATTTCGGCTACTTTTCAAATAAGTAGCGAAAAAATATTAGTTTCATTTAAATGAATAAAACTATTAAAAGTCTTAGATCTCATTAAGTAGGGTTTAACTTTGTAATAAATAATAGCAAAAATTCGTTACCTCAACTCTCTCTTCCTTGAGATCGACTCGTAAGGCGAGCTGTTCTCTAAGGACTACATCAGGATAATGGGTCTTATCGAAGGTGCTTTCAAGCTGTTCCAGTTGTTCTTCAGTGAAGATGGTGCGATGTCGCCTCTTGCGCTTCGGCGGCGGACCAGAAAGACCCGCTAACGCCGCCGCCGCATACCCACCGTATAAACCCGCGTAGCTTCCAGCTTGAGACACCGCACTGCTTACGCCTGTATAAAATATTGTATATTTATAATTATAACTAATCTATGTAAATGTTTAGTATATATCATATTGCCCGGCCATTATGAATAATGCCCAATCAATCACTTGACCCATGACATAAACACAACATGAAGTTTTATTATTGGATACATATATAGTTAAAAGTTTATTTATATAAGAAAATTAACTGGTTTAAAAAATATCTAAGAATAAATTCGTAGCCAGGTCTACAACATGTTTTTATCTAACTTTAACCAGTGTCAAATTATAGATTTTTATCATTAAATATTTTGTTATAATAAACTCAAAACAAAATATTGCAACCCTCGAATATGAATCAAGGTACAAACACGTCACAATATGTTAGAATTAACCTAACGTTGTAACGATCGAACCGTGAATATCCGAGCTTAGGGCCCTATAAGCGTTCCCTGGAGGCGGACCTTCTCAACCATTCAAAATATTAACTCTGGAAAGAAAAATTTTATATTTTGCATACTTCCGCCACTGGGGGTATTACATTGTATTATTTCCGATAGAAATATAAAAGCTTTTAAGGCCGGTAGCGTATTTCTAAAGCGCTATCAATGGTTTTGCACACACCGACTTGGCAGTCTTGGTTCGCGCGAACGTTCGTCTAAGCCGTATTGATTTAAAAATAACTCGACAACCGCTATATGGATCAAAGTTAAGTATATAAGTTCTTGTACTTATAATATCTGGGTCGAAAGATGTATCCGGTTACATATACTGTTAGATAAATTCGATATAAATAAATGTAACGAAATGAAATAAAACATTTAGAACTATAAGTAGCTTAGATCATTAAACGAGTTAGATTAGAGCGTAAACTAAGTTCTCAGAAACAGTGACACTAATTTCATTTAACTATATAATTACGTTTTTAACATTGAATAATTTTTTAGGTAATATTTAAATTTAATTCCAAGTAAAAAATCTTGAATGGAAACTCATAGACACGAAAACGATTTAAGCTACAATCTTGGTAATAACAAAAATTGCTTAATTTCAATCAATTATTCTATTTAAATTCAGAAAATTGCTGCTTCGTATCTATAGTTTCAAATGAAATTTTCATTGACTTCATTCTATAAGAGCAATATGTTGTTATAATATCAAAATTCAATTTTAAATATGTGATACATAAACTAGAGAAATTCCTAAAGTATCCAAAAAATGTAAACAATATTATATCAAATCAATCGTCAGAGAATTTGTATATTTTTTTATCCACCGACGGAAAAATCGAACCTGAAAACCACATGAATAATAATATGTTTTATAAATACTATTTATAAACGAAGATTTCGTTAGTTTTAAAATATGTCACTTATATATAATATTGTTAGAGCATTATTAATTGTCTTTCCCCTCCCGTTGATTGTTAGATAAAATTTAATAAACTTTGAATTAAAATCACGAAAGCCTTTTTAAAATATCACAATTTTTAAATGTATTAATTTAATGTATAAAACAACTGCTATCAAGAGACATATAGAATAGTTTTTTAGAAGAAATATAAAACCATCTTATAGAAATAATAAACTATATAGATTCTTTAATTATCCTCTAAATATTAAGTCTATATAAATATATCAATAAAAAGGTTTCCACGTTGGAGGTTTAATAGGAGGTAAAACAGGAACAAAAAAAAACTGGCATAATTATATAAATAAATTAAAAGGACTAAAGAATAAATTTAAAATAATTTTAATGAACAAGTGAAAGATATAATCATAATAGGATAACTTATTACGAATAGTGAATCCACTTCTACAATAGTACAATACGGCTTCTATAATAATATGGGGGAGTTCACACTTAAACTAATGCTAAAATTTTGTTCATTGAGGGCTCAGAGGTAATAAACATTTTTAGAACATTGAACAAAAGAAAATTTCCATAGAAAAATATAAAAAAATATGGAATAGAAATAAAACATAGTTACATATACATAGCAAAAGGATTTATTCTAATGCTATAATAGGTACTATAAAATTACACACTCGTAAATAACTTTATTTTATCCATGAATATACATAGATTTATATATTAATTTACTTAGTTTGTTTTGCTAACAATTTTACAACCACTTTACAGAATAAAAACGCGAAATATGATCCCAAAAATAAAATCCACACAATTTTTATTACCGTGTTGTTGTTTTTGCGGGGAGGGTCCATAATGCCCTTAAGATATTTTTAAATTTTTAAAATGTTTTATAAGAGGAAAGTCTTTAATTGTGATAAACCCTGTCTCCCCTCGATCCGAGGGACCGCCAGCGGCGCCATCTCGCGGCTTAGACGAGTACTTGGATTTAAATTGAAAAGGTAACGCTAATGTTTGAAGTTAATAAGAGACAATGAACATTCAGGTGTTAAATGTATCGTAATATTAATTATAAGTATAATAATAATCTTATTATTCTTTTATTATTACTTCTCACAGAACCTGTTTAACAGATTTCGTATTGAGGTATAAAGGAATATATGATATCTTGTTTTGTAATAATTCCATACACGAGGGTAAGACTCGGATAAACTTTGTTAATAAACACGTCACAGAAGCCTTACATTCTTATAAATATACCTAAATAAAAAGCATAGAAATATTTATTTTTAATTATATACAATTGCTGTTACATCCTTTCCTCAAATTATAACAACACGCATATACATTTAATTCATTATTTTGTTTGTATATTTAATATTCTACGATATTATAGATTATACATTTTTATTAAGAATAAACAATGTTATTAATAAAAACAACATAAAAATATTTCTATGTCGGAGTAGTATGCAAAATCTGTTTTTTTTTTCAATACTGACGTCTGCATAATTGCGTCACATATGCCTTTCTTCTCAATTGTCATCAGGCTCCCAGGTTAAAGAAGTTAACCTCGTAGACGGTTCGACAAATATTTCACTTCAAAGAGGTAATTTTATTAAAACAAAATAAAAAATATATCGTACCTTTTAAGCACATAAATATGGTAGGCGTTTTATAGTTTTGATACTAATATTTTAGAAATCCATGAAAAGAATAACATTATATAATTACACGGATAAAACGGTAATTCGATTATTTTTATATAAAAAATGTTTACAATAAATAATATGTAACTACATTTATAACTGAAATTAACTTTAACTGGAAATTGATAGTTGATATAATCAAATACCTACTTCAATTTCTCCGAATATTCATATCACGAATAGAATTATAGATTTTAAATTATTTTACGCATAGATATTTTTAAATTAAAAAAAATATTTAAACACTATAAATGTATAACTCGATTTATAGGCTTAGGTTTATTAAAAGCTTTTCGTTTATTGAACATTTCTACGCACGCTCATATTTTTGGACAATGCTTAGGTTTTTCCACATTTTATTTTATTTAAATATGTAATATATAATTAATAATACTTTAGGCTTAAGTAATAAAAACTTCTAGAATCACCTCCCTCTACATAAGGTGATCAATTACATGGAATGCTTAATTTACTGTAGTAGGCACGACAGCTTAATTGGCAAGGTTGCTTATAAAATTTTTCATTCTATAATATCTATTTGAATCTTAGTATACAGAAACTTTTAATAACCTCTATCGCTGTAATGCTTCATCGTTTTCAGAAGACTTTTTGTTATTACTAAAAAATGTACACTAAATTTGACAACAATCGACTATAAAGTTAAGAAAACACAAGCTACATAAATATTAAGCAAATTAGTTTTGGTATTTCTTATTTAATTTACAATATATATTATTTACTATGTAAAAAAAATGTATACGTTACAATTTTACTAATTATACATATATTTATATGACAGCGAAATATAATTACATTTTGAAATGGATTTGTAACTAATTTTAAGAACGTTTTTAACATCTCTAATCTGACTTTAAATGAAAGATGTCCAGTTAGTTATATTATTTCTTTAATTTATATCAGATCTTTTACAAAGCCTTTATAACAAGTTTTCAAGAAACTAAATACGGGACGTCAAGCGTTTTGACTTTATCAATAAACCTACATTGCTTCTTACATGTCCTTAAATTAATACATAATAAATTTGAAACTATGCTTCAGTAGTTTCAAAATGAAAACTTGCTTTAAGGGTGCGGATCATATTTTGTGAGTTGATATTGTGTACGATATTTTTGGTTCAATAAAATACTGAATGACATTTCGAAGACAAATCATATATTCTTATAGTCAAATGCTGTTAGCTATAGTTTTAAAATTACTCTTACTAATATATGAGATTTACCTTACAATTTTCTTTGTTTTTACCTTACTCATAAAGTTTTATTGTTAAAATCTTCTCAAACAAATTATTCCTACTATTTTTCGACCTTTAGTTAATTAAGCCGATACTTTAATGAGAGCAGTGAAAAAAAGACATTAAAATGAGAAGATGAAAATAAAATGAGCCTAATAATTATAATTACACAGATTATTCTTGACGTAGGTAAATAAGGAAAAATATTAATTTGGAAAAAAGCTAAATAAGTAATCCAGCATTTATAAATATATGAGAGTAAGATAATGTCACAAATTACGATTACGATTTTGATAAAAATTTTATTCCAAATAAAAAAATATTAATAATTTATATAAATTAAGTATATCTTAATATTTAGAACAAGTTGACTAAATATTATATCTATATATTAAATATAAAGTACAACTTTAATACCTATAAAAGTAAAAAGAAAAATGTAACGTTATTTTTAGAACATATTGCACAATTATAAAACAAAGTAAAAACTGGGTAATAAAACTTGTCACTTAGTTTGAAGTTAGTCGAGATTTCGTGTCTCGTGAATGTAAAATAAATATTATTTAATACAGCGTGCTTTACTTACAATACATACCGAAAAGTTCGTGTGCTCTATGGAAGGGTGTGTGGGCTAAGTGGTGGAGTTGCAGCGGTGGTATCGGAGGAGGTGGCCTTGGAGCGAGGATGCTGTCTATAGTGAAGAGCGGCGGCGGCGGCCGGTCGAGCAGCGCGCTCGAGCCAGCCGTGCAGCCCGCGCCTCCCAGCAGCAGCGCCGTGGACAGCAGCGCGGGCGCGTCACGCTGCCAACCACCACCCATACCCTCGCGATCCGAGCTCGCGCTCTCCGCCACGCTGCCTGGTCTCCTTCAATAGACCGATAGACCGAAAGACCGATAGACCGATACACCGAAATATACGATACACCGCACCGCATTATACTCTAACGTTATCGACCATTTCACTCACACTTTGTTCGATTATGACGAAAGTTAATCAATTATTATATTATATGAATAGAATTATCACTTTAATAAGCGTGCGCTTCATATATCAAATCCGGTGATACGATTGCTTCGGGATCGTTTAATTCCTTTCTGTTCCGTCGTGATCCGAGCGCGTCTGACGCTTGTGTCGTGTCGTCTGTTGGCGGGGTGGCTCGGGGCTGTGGGTTGGGGGGCTCGGGCTCGAGCTCGGGGGCTCGCTCGGGGCTGCGGAAGGCTGTGGACGGGGCGTGCCACAACAGGCGCCGCCTTCCACCACATTAATGGATGTGACAATACAACGCTCCTAAACACTCACTAATAACAGTAATCTTTATCCCTTCCTATCATCTATATACATTAAGCTAGAAGCTTCTGTTATATTATATTTATAAATTTTGTTGATACTTGCGTATTATAATATCGATATTGAATTACTTTTCATATTATATTTATAATACGATGTTCATTTATAGATAATGATATAATTAATTACGTACATAATTAAACAAAATATATACTCTTATATACAGTAAAATATATGAATAAAATCAAATCCATCCACACAGTTTTATATACATGATTTCATTTATATGAAAATACTTTTAGAATAGATTTTTTACAAATCAAAAACTACCACCTACAACGCGTACCTACATATTGTATTAAACGAGCAACGTATGGGTATAAGACTTCCTAACAACACAGGCTTAGCGACAATTGTAAGAGATGCGAGGATTAACTCTATAAGAGAGAACAAATTGAGCGACGGCTTACTCCGGCGAATGTCGCGCCCGCGGCGTTTGCGATGTGTACGTCTTTTTGCAGCTTATCAACACAACAATGCTTAATTCACTACATACTATAAACACATGTCCTTTTGAAATTAGAAAAAATATATACACTATTGACGAATGTTCATATTCTATCTTGATTGTAAATCCCAAAATACCGTGATCAATAATGATGAGACTTTTGCGAGAATTCATTTACATGAAAATCATATTTTTCGGATTATTTTACGCGTATTTTACTATATTAAAAATTCAAATTTAATTTTATTAACATCTCGTCTGTCCGTAATCACGGTTACTGAAAAGTAACAGAAAAGTCGGGAGCATGTAATTTTTTTAAATAATAATAATCCGAAAAATATTAGTTTCATTTAACATGACCAATGACAGACCACTGAGACTTAACTAAAATAATTCTAAACTATATATTAAACATAGATAATACTATTATATACAAAACGTTCATATAATTTATGTTAAACGACGCGACATCGGTCTGGCGCGCGGCTCTGCGCAAATATTTACAAAGGCAGGAACATCGAAACCCGAGCTTGGTTCTGTTTACCTGTAATTGATGTAATTAGTCGTGTCGACCAGCTGCCAAGATAAAACTTCATCATCAGAATGTTTGAATAGTTAATACGATACTTTCACGGACCGGAAACATCTTTATGGAGTCCTGTACGAGCAAATATTGGACGCACTCCACGATGCATGACTATTGACATAACGAATTCAATACCATATTGATGCATTGCTAGTAAAACCTTTATTATAAACCTAGTCAAAGATAATGTTAATATTTTTTTAATATATTGGTTAAAGTTTATAAACATTTCATTACTTTAACTCCTTTTTTTCGTAAAGACTGAAATATCATGTTAAAAATGGCTCAATCAAACAATATACAGCTCCCAAACTATTTATTATATCTGTATTTTAAAATCAATTTAATTGTTTTTCTATAAAAGACTATTCAATACTTCTTTGCCTCGATTTCTGACGGTTTATTTTCATTTAACATTATCTTTTCGACCCAAACAACATCTTTAGTCATTCTTACAAACGTTTTCAAACAATGAAACATAGATCTGTGTTACAAAATGTTTTAATACAAATAAATATCAATAATAGAATATCAATATAATAATCGTGTATTGTAATATTGATTTCTATATCAATGTGGAAACGATCACATAATATATATGTCAACGATCTCTATCGCAGGCAGCTGTCAATCCGTGTAGCTGGTATGGAAAATTAACCGGGTATAATACTGAGATTATCCGTGTATGACTTAATACTGCCGGTCACATAAAGAGCATAAGCATTAAAATAGCTAACAATAGAAAGGGATTATCCAAGCCGTACTCCCAGCAGATACAATGGCGAGTTGAAACCACGCTTCACTCTGCACCAGTATAAAATATAACAGAGTACATTAATACGTTACGAAAATAAATCATTGTATAATTATCATGTAAATATTTACTTATTAATTTAATTATGTATTCCATTCTTAAAATCTTTATATGTATAATGTAGTAATGCCTTAAGTATTTAATGGTTAAATCTTATTTTACTCCCTATTATATTATATACATCTACTTAGTCACTTTCACTGAAACTACATTTTAAATATATTTAAATTAAATTGCTTGCATTGCTACTTTGTATTAAATATTTGTCATTCACCAAGTAAAATATATATATAACTAACTTCATCATTACGTAATTATGATAATTAGTGTAAAGACTTCATTTCTATTAAAAACCAAACTTAAAATTTGAATAAATCGTATACATTTTTAAGGTGGAATGAAATTATTGTTTTAGTATATTAGTACTATTGGTTTTAGAGTAATACATTTAACCCGACGTTCAGGTTACTTTACATCTGTGTTAAGGCAGACAAGATGAAATATTATATCCACATCTCGTCTGCCCGTGATCACGGTAGCTACAAAGTACCCGAAACGTCGGGAGTATGTACATTTTAAAAATAATAAAATAAGGAGTAGTAATCCGAAAATATTAATTTCATTTATGATGAAATATATTCAATTTCATGAGTAAGATTTAAAATTTTCTAATTTTACAAAGTTATGTTTGTATGGGTTCACCCATACATTAACATAATTTTATAGTACGTACACATTAATAAGCATATATAAATGTAAGCATTGTCATAATTTAGTCAGTATCAATAAAGCGTTCAAATAAACAGGTCGTTCTCATTACCTAGACGCGATACTCACAAACTTGCTGGTCTCCATAAACTAACATATCTAAATGGTGTGTGGTATCAACACCCATACATCGTTTTGGTCCTTCGAGCAACTTCACTCGCGGATTATCCATCCTCCGAGTGCATTGACCATACGCACGGGTTGGTCAAAGTGCGAGACTAAGGCCACGTGTCGCACGGCGATTGACTTTAACGTGTGGAACAGTGACCGTCAGGCGATTTATATCCACTTTTATGTGACAATCATTCAACATCAAGCATAGTACTTTTACATCGAGCATAATATTATAACATCATAAGGAGCCAGTATAGTAAACAGCATAACAGCAAGCATATTATCAGAGCTGAAAAATATTCAGCATATCATCCAGCATAAAAGCAAGCATATTATCAGAGCTGAGAGTTATTCAGCACAGCATCAAGCATATTATCAGAGCTGAGAGTTATTCAGCACAGCATCAAGCATATTATCAGAGCTGAGAGTTATTCAGCACAGCATCAAGCATATTATCAGAGCTGAGAGTTATTCAGCACAGCATCAAGCATATTATCAGAGCTGAGAGTTATTCAGCACAGCATCAAGCATATTATCAGAGCTGAGAGTTATTCAGCACAGCATCAAGCATATTATCAGAGCTGAGAGTTATTCAGCACAGCATCAAGCATATTATCAGAGCTGAGAGTTATTCAGCACAGCATCAAGCATATTATCAGAGCTGAGAGTTATTCAGCACAGCATCAAGCATATTATCAGAGCTGAGAGTTATTCAGCACAGCATCAAGCATATTATCAGAGCTGAGAGTTATTCAGCACAGCATCAAGCATATTATCAGAGCTGAGAGTTATTCAGCACAGCATCAAGCATATTATCAGAGCTGAGAGTTATTCAGCACAGCATCAAGCATATTATCAGAGCTGAGAGTTATTCAGCACAGCATCAAGCATATTATCAGAGCTGAGAGTTATTCAGCACAGCATCAAGCATATTATCAGAGCTGAGAGTTATTCAGCACAGCATCAAGCATATTATCAGAGCTGAGAGTTATTCAGCACAGCATCAAGCATATTATCAGAGCTGAGAGTTATTCAGCACAGCATCAAGCATATTATCAGAGCTGAGAGTTATTCAGCACAGCATCAAGCATATTATCAGAGCTGAGAGTTATTCAGCACAGCATCAAGCATATTATCAGAGCTGAGAGTTATTCAGCACAGCATCAAGCATATTATCAGAGCTGAGAGTTATTCAGCACAGCATCAAGCATATTATCAGAGCTGAGAGTTATTCAGCACAGCATCAAGCATATTATCAGAGCTGAGAGTTATTCAGCACAGCATCAAGCATAGCAGCGAGCGTATTATCAGAGCTGAGAGTTATTCAGCACAGTATCAAGCATAGCAGCGAGCATATTATCAGAGCTGAGAGTTATTCAGCACAGCATCAAGCATAGCAGCGAGCATATTATCAGAGCTGAGAGTTATTCAGCACAGTATCAAGCATAGCAGCGAGCATATTATCAGAGCTGAGAGTTATTCAGCACAGCATCAAGCATAGCAGCGAGCATATTATCAGAGCTGAGAGTTATTCAGCACAGCATCAAGCATAGCAGCCAGCACAGCAGCGAGCATAGCGTCATCGAACACAGTGTTCAGCGCAGCATCGAGGATAGCATCGGTCACAACAAGTGAGATCTTTCCTTTTATTTCAATTTCATTTTAATTTTTCCTCAACATGGAGGATATCATAGCAAAGCAGAATGAGATACAAATATCCATTCAAAAACTTGCGTCTAATTTCAAAAAGGATAGCGCAGAGCGTAAAACAGATGAGTACATTAAAAGAAGAATCGAAAGCCTTGATTCATATTGGGTTCAATACCAAAACAATCATTTAATATTAAGCGAAAAGGGAGATAGGAGTGATCATTATTTCACTGAATTTCATTATGATAAAACTGAAAATCTCTATAAAAGTACTAAGCAAATGATTATTAACTATAAGGGTATATCAGAAAGGCCTGGTACGTTGGTTGAATATTATTCGACACCTCAAAAACATCAGGGTGTTAATAGCAAAACGGACGACTTGTTAAAAAGGCAATACAGTAATTTTAGAGCATTCCAGCGTACAATAAGGAACATAAATGTAGATACTTTAAAGGAAAAATGGGAGTACGAAGATTTGCTCAACACTATACAAAGTAGGTGGGCAGTAAT